AGTCCTGTGCTTATCCTACAGTGTCACACCTGTACTCCTAGCCTGGAAAAAAGTCCTTTTTCAAGTTATGGCTGAAAATTATAGGGGAGCTCAGACACAGACATATGTGAGTGCACCTTCAGTGAAGCAGGGTAGAGAAATATTTATATTCTTGATCTCTTTGAGGCTGACTAATTTCAATAATCTCTAGACTGGGTACTGAAGATAGCAGTGGAAATTCATGAGCTGTTACATAATATTTTCACAGCCACTTAAAATATTTAATAAAAATAAAGATACCCAGAAACAGCAGCAATTTTCTTTGCTGTAAGATGTAATTTTACCAACTTAATTTAATGATACTGATTGCTATACTCTGAACAGAAGCTAACAATTTGATATTCTTTTGATTAATGTAAAAGGAGACAAAATGAATTACTGCTTTAAAAAAAAATTCAGTTTGTTTGCTGGACCTAAAACATTCAAAGCCTTTTTATGGGGATAAAAATGTGGGGATGTTTTATACTATATTTTCACTCTTTTGTACTCTCCAGTTTTGTGCATGCTATATTAGGGAATGCTTTACTTAGCAAATTGCTTTCTTTTCACACTTAGATCATCTTCCCGTGACTGTGGACGACAGATATGTCAGAATGTCCTCATGTTGACAGTTGTGATATGACCTTGAAAGGAGAGGAAGAGAATCTTTGGGGCAAATGCTGTTTGAATTGCTCCTGCCAAGGATGCAGGGGCAACATATGCTGCCTGCATCTGAAACCAGCTCAGGCAGCCTTGGACACTCTGCCGAGGGCTGTGCTTTCCTGACATTCTGTTTGAAATCCTCATCATTTCACTGTGTTTTTTGAAACCAAGCCAAATTGCCAGACTGAATGAATCCTTGGCAAATCTGCCATGGCAATGTGTTTTATCCTCAGTGCTTTGAGATAATAATGATGTCAAGATGCCAGGCTGCAAAACTCTGTACTCCCAAACAGTGGGGGTTTATCAGCCAGCAAAATTCTGCCTCTAAAGTTTACCTATGAATTAGTAATCCATCAGTGGTGGACCACAAGGTCAGTTTGAACCATAAGATTGGTGGTTTAAACTCACCAGCCTCTCCTTGGAAACCCTATACAGGGTTGCTATGAGTCGGAACCAACTCAATCGAACTTCATAAAAACAACGGTGGTGCTAACAACAACTGCTAACCAAGAGAATGGTTGTGAGAGTCCACACAGAGGACACTCAGGAAACAGATCTGGAATCTACTTCTAAAAAATCAACCGTTGAAAACACTGTGGAAGTCACAAGATGGCAAATACTGCATAAGACCATTATTGAGAAAGCTTAAGAAAAGAGTTCCATACTAAAAGAAAAAAATTTTGATGGATACCAGGGGTAGGAGGGAGGAGACAGCAACCCACAGGTAAGGGGGTAGACACATGATAGCTCAGCTGACAGGGAGGGCAATATACAAGGAATGGGGGAGGGTGATACAAAAAAAGGGGAAGGGGCAGATGAGCAAGGACGATAAAGGAAAACTTAGGGAGGTATACATAGGCTAATGGGATGGAGGTAAATAGGGATGTATATACAACCTTGGAACAACAGGGCTCTGTTGTTGTTCATACTGGATTCCAGACATAGTTGGAATGGATGAAAGAGGAGAAATTAAGCTAAGGTGCTTGACTGTCTTGGGACTATATATTTCCCCTGCCTAACCTTGTAAAATAGGCATTTAACTGGGACATAAAGGAATATTGGGAAATGGGATTACAGAAAGCTTATAAATCCATCTTCAGCCTATAACTGATTGGATTAGCTAAAAGGGGACTAGAATGTACCCATGAAAACCAGCTTCTTGTTAAACCTTTGTGGAGCATGGGACCTTAAGTGGAACCTTCTGAGGTGGGACATCCCCACTTGAAAAGACATGCAGACCAACCCAGAATGGCTAGAGGTACAGAAGATATTTTTTGAAAAAAAGAACAGAAAAAAATAACAGACTGTGTGGCTATTAGAATATCAAACAAGCTATTTGCCTTGGAGCCATCAATTCAGCCCATCAGGGTAAACCCCTTTCTAAGACTGAAACTCAAAGGGAACACATGAGCAGTCTTGTATGCTCACTCGTTGGTGACAACCCTGGTCTGCTTGTGAGTGGAAATGGGGGGAATGTAGCAATGAATACATGGGCTGAGTTTGACCGTGTTCCATAGAAAACTGTTGACCTTGAGATGAGAGCAAAGAAAGGGATGGCTGGTCTGAACTTTAGGGAGGCATATGAACTCCTGAGCCCAAAGACACTGACCTAGCCATAGGGGATAGGGTTGAGAGTGAAGTAGCCAGCTGGTCTGAAGTTGGGGGAGGCTTGCGAGAACTCCCAAACTTGTAGATGGTACTCATTTAACCTAACTTGGATGGACAGCAGACCAGAACTCAGCCAGATGAAGATAAAGAAGTTTTTGATACAAAGAAGCCAAGTAATAAATTGCTACAATGTGATGAGCAGGACCTTTGTTTATGGAGGTGGTGGTTGTTAGTGCGGTTGAGTTGGTCTGACTCATGGCAATCCTTTATAGGGCTGCCAAGGAACAGCTGGTAGGTTTGAACCATCGACTTTGCAGCTCAAACTGACCTTGCAGTCCAGAGCATTAAATTCGAGCTGAAAGGGAAGGATTCTTCATATCAAGGATCAAGCTTTCTGCTTCAGTCCACTAGGTTGATAAGGATAGGCAACTTAGATACTGGCTACCAAAATAGGGAGCTATAAAGTCACAAAGTGGCTGATTTAACAAGCTTTCACGAGTGTACTTAGTTTCACAATGAGGAGGGTAAGGTAGACTCCCCACAGAATAGTTTTCCTCTTTTCCAGATGGGTCTATCTGGTGAAAGGGAATGAGGGATGATGGGGATTTTCTGATTCAGTTGTGAGTAATTGTTATCAGGACTAACTGTGATTGTCACAACTGTAAATGTAGAAGATGTGTAATTAAAAGGGGGAAATAGTTAATCTTTCATTTCAGGAACAGAAGACCCTAAGACCATCGAGAGGAAAGAGCATGAGTGGAGCATGGGATCCTATTGAGAACAGTGGCAACAGCAGAGACGGTGGCAGAGATGTAGGTGATGGCATAGAGAGATAGAGCAGCTGAGGACTAAAGGCCCATGCACTGAGAAAGGCCTGTGGATGGGAGGGAAAGTGTGCCCTTTAGACATTTAAACAAATACATATTTTCTCTGTGGTATGTGTACATAAAAAAAACAAAAAAACAAAAACAAAGGTGGGGAGATAGAAAAATACTGTTAACTGATAGTACATGGAGGAGGTTATAATCATTGCAATGAAACAAAATATGATTTATTGAATGTAAAACTGATTATTTACTCTGCAAACTGTTGCTCAATTCACAGTAAAAACTTTAAGACAAAACAAAACAAAAAACTCTGTGGAGCAGTTCTACTGTGAGTCACATGGGGTTTCTATGAATCAAAATCAACATCACAGCAAAGTACGGATCAGGAACTTCTCCTTCAAATTGAAATCTAAAAATTATTGCCCTCTGAACCCCTTCCCCAACAGTTAGAAAGAAAGAAAAATCAATTGTTAGTGTTTATTTAAAATATGGGAAGAAACAGACTGTGAGGGGACTATAGGAAAAGTGCTTTGAGAAGCATCATCTTCAGGTTCTTTGTATGTGGGAGGGAACAAAGAAAACGAACTAATTTTAATGGGGTTGATTGAGCAAACACCGCAGCAGTTTTGAATATTTCTCTTTCTATATTAATATTACTGCAATAGCAATTGCTATCAGCCACATGTAAATGGTTTTTATTGAATAAATGAGTTTTCCTTAAGATATAAAAATTAAAGCCATCCTAAAGAGAAAATTTTCAATAATCTCATATGCATGTGAAAACTGGACAGTGAATAAGGAAGACCATAGAAGAATTGATGCTTTTGAGTTATGGTGTTGGAGGAGAATATTGAAAGTGTTATGGGCTGCCAAAAGAACCAATAGATCTGTGTTGGAAGAAGTATAGCCAGAGTGCTCCTTGGAGGCCAGGATGGCCAAACTTTGTCTCTCATGCTTCAGATATATTGTCAGGAGGGACCAGTTGCTGGAGAAGGACATCATGTTGGGTAAGGTGGAGGATCAGAGAAAAAGAGGAAGACCCCCAGCGAGATGGATTGGCAAAGTGGCAGTATCAGTGGGCTCAAGCGTGAGAACAATTGTGAGGTTGGCCCAGGACTGGTCAATGTTTTATTCTGTTGTGCATAGGGTTGCTGTAAGTCAGTACCAATTCAATGGCACCTAACAACAACAAAAGAGAAAATGTATATGGTTTGGTTTCCTCCTCACCTCACCCCCACTGGAAATGCTAGATTGTCTAAGAAAGCAGAGAACTGTATTTTATGTTGGTATTGCCAATCATTTTCACAGTTCCTACCTAGTATACTGAGGTAGTAAGTACCAAACAAGGAGCTCTGTTAGCATAGTAGTTAAGAATAGGGCTGCTAATCTGAAGAGTGGTTTGAAAGTACTGTATTTCCGTGGGAGAAAGAGGAGGCTTTCTGCTCCAGTAAAGATTTACAGCCTCAGAAACTCTATGGAGGGTCGCTATGAGTCAGAACTGACTCCACAGCACATAACCACCACCACCAAATAACAAATAGTTTGAAAAATGAAGAAAAAAAAATCTATAAAAATCCTCATTTTCTTCTATTTGAAAGGGGAATGAATAAGTTTTGTTCTAGGAATGGTTCTATCTGTATGTCCTCTACATTTCCAGAGCACCTGAAATATGCTACCATGTACTCATAGTAACACCTTCAGGTAAAGAGTCACTGGGTGGGTGACCTTAGGTGAGAAGGACCTCTCTGGTATCTTCCTGAGTTATATATATAATAGAACTTTTTTATGTTTTCCATGGATTTTGGACAAATTACTTCTTAAACAATAGCATATTCATTTCACCTGAATTCCTTAAAGATGTGGAATTATTTTTCTCTTTTTCAGCATGAAGACACTTCTTGAAGATGAAACCCTCATTGATACCTCTCTACAATGTGTAGTGAATCCAGAGATAACTGTGAAGGACAAGTGCAAGAATAAGTTGAATGTAAGTATTTTATTGTATCTTGCGACCTTCCTGGTTATTCTTCTACTTTTGTGACCCAGGTTATACTTACTGTGTTGTCAGTGCAGTCCAGTTGGTTTTGACTGATAGTGACCCTGTGTATAACAGACAGAAACACTGTCCAGTCTGGCACCACACTCACATCTCTAGGTGTGTTTGAGCCCATTGCTGCAACCACTGTGTTAATCCATTTCTTTGAGGGACTTCCTTTTTCTCTCTCTCTACTTTCCCAAGCATTCTATGATCTCAGTCTGATAATGTGTATAGCGTGTACATCTGGGCGTGTGTATGAGTGGTTTGTGGGTGTGTGAGTGTCAAGGTTAAGAGTGAGAGAGTTGTATCAGTGTGTATAAGAATGAGGAAAGAGAGTGAGTGAGTGTGCAGATATGTGACAGTGTCTATTTCTCGAAATGGAGACACCCAGCAAACACCATGACTTAATGAAAATATACATTTGAATCTTTATGATAATCGACTAGTGTCATCTTAGCTTTTTTCTTGGTCTGTTAAAACTCCATAATGTTGATAGAATGACTACTGTACCAAGAAATGTTGTTCTTGAGAGGCTTAAAGTTTTTTATCCTAGAAATTTGCAGAACATTGAGAAAACTGAAACTTCTTAGGTAGTTATTCCTAGCATTGTTACAAAGGTTACATACAAGAAGAAAACGGTCTCATGTGTCATGGGTTTTTTTTTGTTTTGTTTTGTTTTTTAACTTTTTATTGTGAATTGAGTGAAGGTTTGCAGACAAGATATCACTCATTTTACATTCAACAAATCATACACTTAGTTTCATCTCAATGACTGCAATCCCCTCCATGTAACAAGCCGTCCCACTTCCTCCTTTTGGTTCTTTTAGTCCACCGTCTTTCTCATTTGTCCTTAGGTAAAAATGTTGCCCTTTCGATCTTGAAAGGTTGACCATTCCATGGTGAGTATACCTTAGTAGTGTTGTTGTCCCCCCTACATACTTGTTGGTTTACTGTTTGGATGAAAATTGAACCATGAAAATGAGTTCTGTTCCAAACCTGAAGGGTAACCAAAGTCCATAGTATCAGGTTCTACAAGTCCCTTTCTGACCTGTAAGCCTGGTATTTTTAATAATTTTTAGTTTTGCTCCACTTTGGGAACACATGGGACCTTCTAATGTGATCGCTTTCAGAGCAATGGTGAGTGGTAGCCAGGCCACATCTAGTTCTGGTCTCAGAGTCCTGGACACTGATGTTCACATGTTCCTTTAGTCCATTTGACTAATTGATTCCAAGCTTCTTAAATTTTTATTACTCTTCTCTGCTCATGAAGAGACCAATAGTTGCATTGTAGATGGCTGCTCATGAGCTTTTAGGATCCCAGCCACTAATCACCAAAGTAGGGTGTAGAACTTTGTCTTTGAGGGGCTATGTTATGCCAGTTAACCATGGTGTCCCTCGAGACTGTGGTCCTGAGCCGCCAGATGCAGCAGCTCATTGCCTCAAGGTGTTTGGTGATGTCTAAGCAGTTTTCATCTTTTTGCTCCCTGTATGCGCCACCATATTCAGAGGTGTGCTTGCAGCAAAGGTAAGTACCCATGTACATTTCAATATCCTCTGTCAAACCCTTAGGGATTTGTAGAAACCTCTCTTTAATTTATTAGTCACTTATCTCTATTGTTCAAATTCCAGACTACTGTCTAGCATGTCTCAGACCCTTAAATTAACTAACGAAAGAAACAAACTTTCCAAAAGTTCGGAATATTCATTTTTACCTGTTTATCAACCTCACTTTTTTAAAAAAAGTTGCTTTTAAATATGTTTATCAATAAAAACTCATTTTAGCCCATTTCCTTTTCCCACCTTGTTATAAAGCAAGCTTTGATGAGAGGTGAAATGTTTAGATATCTACTAATCATAAGATAACAAAACTCAATTGACAGTCAATAAATCTTTATTAAATTGAGATAATTCACCAAAAAGATAATCTTTTTGTACTGTACATTTGAAAATGGTATATGTTCAGTTATAATTTTTGGAATCCAGTGGCAGTGAATGCCATAGAGATAGAAATATCCACAGCATTTGTTATTATTTGGTAAACATGCACATAAAAAACATTTGTCATATCCACAATGTCCACATGTACATTTCAGTGACATTAATTATAATTACCATATTCAGCCATTACCCATTTCTAAATTTTTTCTTACTTTTTGTAGAAGCTCAATGTTACCTAATCTATAAAACCCTCATCTCATGTCCACTATTTTATATTGTCTGTCCTTTGTTTATAAATAATACAGAAAACTCTGATTTCTTTGATTACTTTTATTATAGGAGTTTAAGCCTACCATGGAAGAAAAGCTAAATCTTTTTGTATTAATGCTGAGCAACTTGGGAAACTACAAAGAATTATTGATAAAGATGTTGTTAAATTTATAAAGATTTTGAAGAGATTCAATCTGGAATATTTTCCCTTCAGGAAAGAATTCCTTTCCAGGTAATTAACATGTGTATGTAAGGAGCTCATTCTTCATATCTATGACACATTTGTGATTGTGCCATGACATTCAATTGACTCTTTTCAAATTGTATACATTGATTTCAGATGGTACTTTTTCTGAGAAGACATTCTGTCTGACAATTTTGAATTTTGCCAATAGTGTGAAATTGACTTGTATATTTAGAATAGCAAATGGTGAACTTTAAAACCTGTGGAAACCAGTATAATGAATATTTTCTCCAGAGAGGGAATTTAGAATTAGAGATATAATTTTTTTTTTAATCTGAAGAGGACTTAGAGATCATTTTAGTGAAACTTAATCATTTAACAGAGTCCTGGTGTGGCTGTATGGGTTAATGCACCAGACTGCAAAGCCATTTGAACTGCAAGGTCGGCAGTTCAAGCTCATCAGCTGCTCCTCAGAAACCCTATACAGGGTCACTATGGGTCAGAACTGACTTGACAGCACTTTACTACAACAACAACAACAATCATTTAACAGATCGCTGAGGCATAAAATGGTATTAAATTGGTCAAAGCCCTACATTTGTTAGTGAAAGATCTAGAATGAGGAGCCAGGTCTCTTGGCTCCAATTTTCACCGCACTTGGCTTCCTGTTCTAACTCAGTATGCCATGCATAGTATAAAATTTAGCCAGTTCTATCTCAGGTAAGCAAAATCTTAGGGAACAGAGTATTGTAAATGTGAAATAATTTCTCATCATACTCTCTATTCTCTCATCTCAGTTCTTATAGGGGAAACTTGAAGTTTGTATCCTCTGTAAACCACATGCTAAATGAGGACTCTTTGCTGAACACTCTTTCTATAACTGCAAGTATACAGGCCTTTGCACTCACTTGAATTTTTTTTTTTTTTAAGTAAACCAACAAGCATAGACGTATGTTAACCTTGAACAAAGTAAAAAATATAGTTAGAGACTAAGGTAAGTTGAAAGAAACAGAGGAGGAACTTTATTTCTTGATTTTAATCTTCAGTTTTCCCTAAGAAGTAAGGAGCCCTAACTTCCCCATGGTGGTAAAAAATGTGGGTGAAGTGGTTATGCAGCTTCCTTAGACAGACACCATCTCCATAAAAAAAAGGAACATTGAGACTCTTCTATTTAGTACCAGAGAACTTTTTGAAGAGAGGCCTGCAGTAGAATTAGCTCTGAATAGAATGACTCCTGTGTCTTCTGCTAAATACAAGCAGTCCAGTAAAATAATAAAAGCTGCCATTTTCATTTGCTGAAACATCTTAATTGGTATTCTGCTAATTCCAAGAGCCTTGTTTTTCCTCCACCAATGCCTTTAGTGCAGTTTGGACTTGCTCCCAGTACCTTTGGTTCTTGATCATATGCTACCTCCTGAAATGCTTGTACATTGATCAGTTCTTTTTGGTACACTATATTCCTTCTGTCTTCTTTTGATGCTCCCTAAATCATTTAATCTAACACTCATCTATCAGTTTGTGGTACTTGGTGGCTTGCGTGTTGCTTTGATGATGGAAGCTATACCACTAGTATTTTAGATACCAACTGGGTACATCCATGGTGGACAGGTCTCAGCTGAGCTTCCAGACTAAGACAGACTCGTTTTTGTTGTTAAGTGCCGTCAAGTCAGTTCCAACCCATAGCAACCCTGTATAGGGTTTCTGAGGAGCAGTTGGTAAACTTGAACCACCGACCTTGCAATTCAAATCTCCTGTGCAGTCGAGAGCATTAACCCACAGTGCCACACCAGGACTGGGGACTACTTCTGAGTGTTTGACCACTGAAAACCATATGAATAGAAGTGCAACACTGTCATAGAGCACTGGGTGGTGGCGGTGGTTATGTGCTGTGGAGTCGGTTCTGACTCATAGCGACCCTGCACAGGGTTTCCGAGGCTATAAATCTTCACAGGAACAGAAAGCCCCATCTTTCTCCCGCAGAACAGCTGGTCATTTCTAATTGCTGACCTTGCGATCCACAGCCTGATTCGTAACCACTACGCTACCAGAGCTCCTTTCATAGAGCACTAGAATATTGTAAAATGATAGTGCTGGGAAATGACCCCTCAGGTTGGAAGACACTCAAAATATGACTGGGGAAGGGTTGCCTTCTCAGAATAGAGTTGACTATGATGATGTGAATGGAGAAAGGCTTTTAGGACCTTCATTTGCTTATACAACATAAAATGAGGAGAAACAGCTATATATGTCCACTAATAATTAGAACATTGAATGTACAAAGTATGAATATAGGAGAATTGAAAGTTGTCAGGAATGAAATGGAATGCATAAAGATCAATATCTAGGCATTAATGAGTTTAAATGGTCTGGTATTGCTCATTTTGAATCTGATAATCATATGGTGTACTATGCTGGGAATTAGAAACTGAAGAGTAATGGTGTTGCATTCATCTTCTAAAAGAACATTTAAAGATCTATCTTGAAGTATAATGCTGTCTGTGATAGGATAATATCCGTATGCCTACTTGGAAGACCAATTTATATAACTATTATTCTAATTTAAACACCAACCGTTAAAGCCAGTGATGATGAAATTGAAGAATTCTACCAACTGATTTGGTCTGAAATGGATTCAATCAAGATGTATTGCTAATTAGTGGTGATTGGAATGCAAAGATTGAAAACGAAGAGGAAAGATCAGTAATTAGAAAATATGTCCTTAGTAATAGAAATGATGCTAGAGATCACATGATAGACTTATGCAAGATCAATGGCTCGTTCATTGCAAATACCTTTTGAAACAACTTAAAAAATGGATTATACACGTAGACCTTACCAGTTGGCATACACGGAAATCACATTGACTACATCTATGGAGATATTGGGAAAGCTTCATATATGTCAAAGCAAGGCCAGGAGAAGACTGTGTGAAACACCATAATTTGCACAGATGCAAGTTCAGGCTGAAGCTGAAAAAATTTAAAACAAGTCCATGAGAACCAAAATTTGACCTTGAAAATATCCCACCTGAAGTTAGAGACCATATCAAGGACAGATTTGATGCATTAGATACTAAGACCAAAGACCACAAGAGTTGTGGGATGATATTAAGACCATTGTACAGGAAGAAAGCAAAAGGTCATTAAGACAAGAAAGAAGGAAAAGACCAAACTTAATGTCAGAAGAGACTCTGTAACTTGCTCTCCAGCGTAGAGATGCTAAAGCAAATGAAAGAAATGAGGTAATCAGAGGACTGAAGAGAAAATTTCAAAGGATAGCTCAAGAAGACAAAGTCAAGTATTTTAATGAAATGTGCAAAGACCTGAAATTAGAAAACCAAAAGTGTTTCAACATTTTTCAAACTGAGGGAACTGAAGAAAAGATTCAAACTTAGACATGTAATATTAAAGATTCTATGGGCAAAATACTGAATGATGCAGAAAACATCAAAGAAAATAGTAGTAATATACAGTCACTATACCAAAAAGTAATGGATGATATTCAACCATTTTAAGAGACAGCATATGATGCAGAGGCAATGGAACTGAAGAAGTCCAAGGTACACTGAGTACATTGGCAAAAAACAAGGCCCTGGGAATTGATGGACTACAAATTGAAATCTTTCAACAAACTGATGCAGCACTGGATACTCTCACTCATCTATGCCAAGGAATTTGGAAGACAGCTACCTGGCCAACTGATTGGAAGAGATCTAATGTTTGTGCCCATTCCAAAGAGACGTAACCCAATGGAAAGTGGAAATCATTGTGCTAAAGATCATTAAAAAATGGCAGCAACAGTACATTGACAGGGAACTGTCAGAAGTTCAAGCTGGATTCAAACAAGGATGTGTGGAACAAGGAATATCTCTGCTGACATCAATGGATCTTGACTGAAAGCAGAGAATACCAACAAGATGTTTACCTGTGTGCTTAATTGATTATGCAAAGGCTTTCAACTGTGTGGATCATTACAAGCTATGGACAACATTGCGGAAAATGAGTATCCATAGCACTTAGTTGTGCTTATGAGGAACCTGTACCTAGACAAAGAGGCAGTTGTTCAAACAGAACAAGGGGACACTAATGGTTTAAAATTAAGAAAGATGTACGCAAGGTTTGTATTCTTTCACC